GTCAATCCGAAATGACCTCGTAACTTTCGAGGGAGCAGCTGGGGGGATTTTGCATGGTGTGTAGGAAAAGTTTCGATTTTCCAAAAATGATCCCGTACTTTAATTCACACTATGAAAATAAAAGTTTTCCTTTAAATGCAATAAAAAAATATCCTGTGAATAGGAAACGGAAGCCAAACGAAACGCGGATAGGAAAATTGTCTTCTATGAAATGATTGATGGATTTAATATTGTCTGTCATCTTGGGAGGAAGGTATAGGGAGGTCTGGTAATCGTATTTTTTTGCTAAGGGTGCGGTTCTTTAAAGGAGCTACATCACGGCTTGCGCATCTTGAAAAGTTTAGCCTAAATTTTTCAAGTTCGTCTTAATCCGTGTTAATCTTCTCCATCCTCAACCATCCTTGTCCCTTTATGGTTTATTATTATCTCTTTAGTGTTTTTCTTTCTTAGTTAACTACTATTTTCAGGTTTCCTTTAATTTAAAGGTAATTCTGTACGGGGCCAAAATAACTCAAAATACCGTGACGCCCTCATAACTCTTAGTGCTTAAAATCTCAGATTCTTGGAGTCAATTTTTACAGCAGCTCATGATTGCAATAAGATATTACTGGACAATTTATATTTACAAATTCAGTTAATCTTTTTTGTAAGCAAATCCAGCCAGCTTAGATGTTGCACCGTTTGCAACTACTTCTCTTGTCTTCTTGGCTAGTTTGAGTGTATTTGTTGTGTCTTCGTTTTCATCGTCGCACTTTTCTCGTTTTCTCTTCTTGTCTCCTTGTTCTGTAATTCCACTAGTAGCTTCTTTTGCTTTCCTATTCCAGTCCATCTTTTCTTCTTCCTCCAGGGCCTTCCACTGTCGCATGGCAAACTTTACCAGGTCAGTATCAGACAGTTCTGGATTCTCTTCTGACAGAGCTTCTTTACTCTTTTCAAACCACAGGTTGAAACCATTGACTCTACCAGACAAAAGATAACAATTATTTCTGGGATTTAACTTCTACTGTAAGGCCATGCCCTTTTTGAGATTTTCCTAAACTCTCCACTGTACAGTACAGCACTCTGCAGCACCGTGCTGTACTCTATTTATTTACCTCTCTACTTTATATCGATTGGATGCGAAAGCGTTATCAATTGTTAAATGTAGATGTAAAGGACACTTTTGTAAGTGGACAGCTCTACTCACGATCGCCTCCAAAAAAACCCATTTGACCGCCCATACAAACTCTGTTTACTCATTCCCGGAGGTGGACATTCCCCTAAGCAGGCGCCGACATATTCTCACTTTTCCTTTGTCTTGTTTTATTTTCTTTCTCCCATTGTTGCGTTTTTAACTTCCTCCAGCGTAATGAGGACAGAAAACATTTGATGCGTTTTCAGAGTGAAACATCCGTGTTCATATTCTTCCAGCATGCTCTGGACGGGGCCCTACCACTGACCGACTGACTGAATCGATTGATCGGTCAATTTACTGATAACTTACTTCTCAACAGCCGCTGCATTCTTCTCTGAAGGTGCTGTCTTTTCATTTGTTTTTTCCTTCTCTGGGGGTGATTGCAATAGAGTGGTTTGTTTCCCCTTTTTCTTTTTCTGGGCTGGCTTGGACTCTGGAGCTAGAAAAATAATAATAAAAAGAATACCAATTATCAATAACGACTAAAAAAACTACGATACTCATTAATCATAAGTTAGCTTAACAGGTAATTACATAGCATGCGCTACAGCACCCGTGCGAAACGAGTGGGCGAGCAAAGCGAGCTCGTCTCTCACAGCTTCACCTTAGCCTGTTTCATGCACATCAGTACCACATCATTTGTCAAATCACATGTCAAATCACGCATGTCGAATCACACGTGTCAAATCACACGTGCAAATAACTGCTCTCTTTCAAAACACATCTTCAGTCGAAATGCATCAAAATCACACTTTTGTCTGTCATCTGTTGAATCTCTGTCTTGTCATATGTAAACTCACGCCTGCCAACTGTCAACTTTCACCTCTAGCATTCGTGAAATGGTAAATGGCAAAAGAATTAAAGGACATGTTACTTACAAATATAATTTTACATCCCCCATAATTTAATCACAGGATAAAATTATAACAGCCTGATAAACAAACATTTAGTCAAGCACTACAAAACATAACTCACATATCTTGCTTTTTCTGAGCAGAAGAGCTTTCTTTTCCTCTTCTACGCTGTCAAAGAAACTCTTTCCGTGCACTCCAGAGGCCTTCTTTCCAGGACTACCCACTCTGAATGGATTGGAACGACCCTGGCTTGAACTTAGACTTGGAGAAGGAGAACTGGGTGGTGGTTTGAGTTTTACAGCTGAACTTGACTTTGAGTGGAAAGATCCAAAATCCTGACTGTCTAGTCTTGCTAGGCCCTTCCTTTCTACAACAAGAAAAGTGTTATAAACAGTCAAAATATAAATTTATTTCATTAAACAGATCAACTTGTAAACAAAGCCATATGCACACATGCATGTACCAGGACTGACAGAAAACAACTCTTACAGAAAAAAATAAGAAATATCAAGTGAAAATCGTTTCTCAGATACGGAAGGTCACCAACATTACCTACTGAACACTTCCTTGATAGCTTTATACAGTGGGAGTTCTTAGCACCCTATTCAGGCTCTGGATTTGTTACTCCCAGTATTAAATTTGCCGGTACACATTTATTCACCTGGGTGGAGAGAGGCACTGTGAGAGTTAAGTGTCCTGCCCAAGAACACAATGTCCCCAGCCAGGGCTCCAACCCGGAATGCTCAATCTGAAGTCTAGTGCACTAACCATTAGGGCAACGCAACTCTCAATTATATTATCTGCTTATGACTGACGAGAGCTGTCCTTACACAGTGGTTCAGCTGTACTGTCTACAACTATATCTATGTCTACAGACAGGCTATTTAGAGAGAAAGTAGGGGCAACCGAAATTACCACTAGAGCACATGCTGTAGCTCAACATCAGTCAGTGAGTCAGTGAGTAAGTCAGTCAGTCAGTCAGGTAGCCAGTCAGTCAGTCAGTCAGTCAGTCAGTCACTCACTCACTCAGTGAGTGAGTCAGTCAGTCAGCAAGTCAGGGAGTGAGTCAGTCAGTCAGTCAGTCAGTCACTCAGTGAGTGAGTGAGTGAGTGAGTCAGTCAGTCAGTAAGTCGTTTTTAGTACCTTGCTTTCTTGAAATCTGTTGATCATCTTCACAGTCTTCCATTTCATCATCTACTCCATTCTCCTCCATTTTTTCCTCTTCCTCTTCCTCATCTGCCTGCTCCACTTGTCTCGACACAGTCTGAGGATGGCGAACACGCCCCCTTGATGTGAATACCTCACTCCCTCTAATGGGCCAGTTGTCTTGCTGGAAATCATCTTCCTGCTCCTCCTCAGCCTCAAGTTCTGCCTTCTTACGAGCCAGGTCATCAAGTCGATTGGCCAAGTTCATTCGTCGACTGCGTGCAGCATATTTTATCGCCAAGCTTACCTATAAAAGGAGTTGAGGTTTTTGTTAAGTTAGGGTATGTTTCCTCCCTGCAATAGTTCATCACTGCATCTAAACTTTTGACAGCTCTTTGAACTGTTGTTGAAAGATATAGACTTATAAGGCGTTCCAAACATCATGCTACTGCCGTGCTAAACTCAAATGAATTTGCCAAGCAGTGGCATGACAAAAGAACAGGAGTGGTTTCAAACGTCACATTAAATTCAGTCGCGTTAAGGATCGGAAGAAGTCTGCTCTGCTGAAGACCATTTTAAATGCTGGAAAGTTATGGCAGCTAATGCAGCAGACTATGAATTCAGTTTGGTACGGCAAGAGCACATTGTTTGAAGCCAGGTTGCACTACTGCTGTGTGGCACAGCAAGGCCTGCCTCATGCTAACTTAATTCAGCTTGCTGAACTAAGCGGTTTCAAATGTCGTGCTACTGCCGTGTTCAAGTCAAATTTAATTCTTGAATTTAACTCGGCATGACAGTAGCACAACATTTGGAATAGGTTTAAGAAACTTGGTTTAGACCATGTAGTTGTACTAATCCCAAGATCTAAAAATCAACTCATCCTTTGGTGAACAATTGGGCCAGTTTCCTTGAATTCTTAATTCTTAGTGGGTCCAGGTCTAAACAAAGTGGCCCTCATTTTTCTCAAAAAATCT